TCGTCTCATAGAAGAAATGAATGAACTAAAAAAAACAAAAAGAAAAAATGAAAGAAGGGGACCTGGCCTGGTGGCACAGTTGGCCGCTGTCAGTAGCAAACTGAACTGCTGTGCTGGAAACCACATGGCCAACTAAGGGTCTGACTCCCCAGTCAGCTTGAAAACACATGAGGCACGTGTGTTGCATGTCCTAGACCCTGACGAGCTGGAGGGCTGGGAAAAGGGGGTCACAGCGTGACCAGACACTGTCCAGGGTGCCTCTCTTTCTCGTGTGTGCACATGTGTTCTCTCTCATGGGTAACAAAAGAACCTTAAACAAGAAGAAGGCAGAAAGAAGGAAGAAGAGGTCTGAGGGCCTCCTCCCAGCTTCCCTATAGTAGGATGAGGCTGAAGATCTGAAAAACTTCCCACCCCTCTGCTTCTGGACAGCACTCCAAGGATAAAGCCTCAGAGAAGAATGGGCCCTGGTGATCACAGGTGTGGGGCCAGCACTAGGCTCTCAGACCCAGCCAGGAGTCCTCTCCTCCAGGTGGGCTAGGAGCAGAGCATCATGGGTTTCTGGGATCATGAAGGCTCAGACAGAGACCCAGGGGAACTGGGACTGAAGGAATGCCCTCACATCCAAGGCAGATGGGAGCCTCTCAGGCCAGTGATGACTCAGACTAAATGTCTACCCTCCACTGGAACAGGGATTCAGAATTGAATTTTAATTTGGTTTAAATAAATTAAATGTGATATTTCTGGCATACCTCTGTGTGTCTGAGGTTCACACTCCTTATGTGTGTAAGGAATGACTCTTAGATTTCTTTCCCCATCTACCTCAGATGTGAGGATTCTCAGGCCCTCACAGAGCGGTTGTGGACTGAGTCAAGGGATCGAGCAATTTGCTGTGAGAGGTGGGGATGTAGGTCCACCCCAGGCTTCCGCAGGGGTCTAGGATTCTTGCTGCCCTGAAAGGAATAGATACAACATCCCTGCTGTCCTGGGGCTGTTCTGCCCTCTGAGATGCTGATGTCCCAGGAACCCAGGGGATTTCCAGGGTGTGGGACTTTCTGTTTTAAGACTGGGTAAGCCCTGTGAAAACTAGGACTAGTTGATTACCTCACCTTGCTATTGGTTCATTATCTCATTCGTACCAGCTTCCAAGGGATACTCCAAAGTCATCTCTCTCAGACTAGGTATTGAGAATGGGATAAGAGAATCCCTGCCCTTTTCCCACAACAGTCCGTAGAGATAGAAATTCTCTCATCTTCCTAGGGAACCCGGCAGCGGAAGAATCAGGATTGGCCCTTAACCAAGTGGTCAAGTGGGAACACATCTGAACAGATAAAGACTTCAGTCTACCTCCGTTGTCATATTCCTGGTAGTCTACAACTACTGGTTTTTCTAATTTTCTGTCTTAACCAACCAACCCTGGTCCCAGTACCAGGAACCAACCAGAAGAGGGGGCACTTAGAGGTCTTCTCCCTGGCCCTCAAAATTTGGTGTCTGACACCACCAGGAGCAGCCTTCTTGGAGAGCAGGTAGAGGCCCTGCAGTCTAGCCGGGAGAACAGAGAGGGAGGGCCTCAAAGCAAGGGCCCCATGTTGTGCATGGTTCTGAATCTGCCTTTGGGAGGGGGCTCCTCACGGTCACCCTCAGTCAACAGCCCCCAGGGACTCCTTGCTCCTGTAAGCTGCACTTTAGGCTGCTACCCTGGAGGCTGATAGGCAATGACTCAAATTAGCCTGGATACTTGCAGGAGCTTTGCTGAGATTGTGCAAACTTCCTTGCACAGAACCCTGTGAAGTAGTGAGGAAAGTGAAAGCTAATTAAGCCACTTAATCCAGAACTGAAAGGAGATTTAAAATTTCACTTGTGGAAAGTATTCAGGGAGGAGCTAAAAAGACTTCACAGTATACCTCGCCTCCCTGCAACACCGTGCCCTTCCTGGCTATGGCTCGGCGTGTAAGTGCAGGCCGTCGAATAAATTCGCTCACCGCATTGCTGCTTGTAACCGCGTGTTAGATATGGCACTTGAATAGACGGGATCATTTAAGTCCTCCCAAATCATGTGAGGTAGACTCTGTTATGACACCCATTTCAGAAACAGGAAAACTGGAGCTCAGACTCTATCTTGTCACCAGCTGCGTTGGAGCAGAGCTGCAGCTTAAGTCTGACCCTGAAGTTTGCCTCTCTTCTCTCTGTTTTCCCACCAGAAACACATAAATGACATGAAAAAATTCATGTTTATGTTATGCTACCTGATACTTGGGGATCAGGGACTGTATTGCATATTTCTTTAAAATTTCAACCATAGAAAATATTCTGTAGGTTTTTTTTTTTTTTTTTTTTTTCCTCGTTTATTCCTTTGGAGACCCGCAGAGCTGGGAACTTGCATATCTGGGCATCAGGAAATAAGGCAGTGAGCTTTGAACTTACTGAGACTCCAGGGTCACTCGTTTAATCAGGTTAAACCCAATTACCAGTTGACTAGAAAGAAATCATTCGTGGTACCCATGCATTGCTAGGTGTGTGGTTCGGTACAAGTAAGGTCATCCTGAACAATGACGAGAGCTAGAAACTGCACAGCAGATGGCGTTACAACGATGTCTCATCTACACCATGGTTTTCTTCTATTAGCACAGATATACCCTGTGAATCTTCGCTTCCTTATATCTTTGTAGCTTTCTCAAAGGATGTACTAGTACTTTGAATCATGGTATTAAAGTCATGATTGATTTTTTTTTTCTTTCCCTTTCTTTTTGTTATTTAGTTCTGAAGGGACATGGGCCTTAAGGTAACTCACTGACTAGTTAGGAATAGCCAGGGATTGAAGACAAGTTTGAGCTCATAGATGTAATTTTCTGCCAGGATATAAAAGTGCCAGTGTTACAGCTGAGGGAGAATTTGCTGGATGAATCGTTGGGTAATACTGGGAAAGCCATGGATGCTTTTCTGTTGGGGTCTAAGTAACTATTTATAGACTTCCAAATCCCAAGCTTAAATTGGTCCAAGGCTATCTAATCAATTACATGATTTTCAGTCTTTTTCTTCCCCAAATCTCTATCTGTGTTTTCACTGGGCTGAAAAGGTAGCATTGATAGAACATCTTTTCTTCATTCATATTTCTTTCTTAAACACTGTGAATTAAAGTTCTCATGTGCATATTAGAATGGAGGGTTTTTCTTTTTAAGTTTATTATTTATTTCTTCAGACAGAGAGAGAAAGAGGGAGAGACAGGCAGGCATTCCCAATAGGGTCTTCATGTCAGTCTCCTCCCAGCCTCAATCAGCTGGGATCACAGGCGTATGCAGGTGCCCAGCCTGCATGGGAAGAACCTGGAACCTTTCTAGCTTCAGCATCATGTTGTGTTACCACTGAACCACCACAGCTGGCCAAGAATGGAGTTTTTAAAATAATCTCTTCTGGGACTAGCAGTTGGCGTAATGGCTATGTCACTGGACTCCCATGTAGTCGACTGCAGTTCAAGTCCCAGACCTTGTGGCTTAAACTCACACCAGGCAAGTGTAAGAGAATGGAGAGACACAAAGTGAGAAATCACTCCTCCCAGGGGGCGTGGCCCTGCCATAATCCCTTCTCCATTCTCCTCTTGGGAACACACATACATGTGCCTGATGTGAGTTTTAACCAACAGAGTCAGGAACTCAAACCGTGGTCGGCCATGTGGGAGTCCAGCAACATAACCATTACGCCATCTGCTGGTCCCAATATTCTGTACTTTTTAGTAGACTGAAAAAAAAAAAAAAAGAAAAAAAAAAACTGGCCCAGCCAAAGTGAACAGATCTATAGGTTAATGGACTGAAGTGCTGGAGGCCACATGACTGACCACAGGTTTGGCTCTCCAGGTTGGCCTCAAAAAGTTACAATCCTGGGGTGCTAGAAAGCTGGGCAAAGGGGGATCATGGTATGACAAGATCCTGTTGAGGACTCTCTCTCTCTATCTATCTATCTATATACACACACACACATATATATATATATATATATATATGTGTGTGTGTGTATATATGTATATATATATATATATATTCACACATACACACACATATTATGTGCACACATATGCTATTATTTTTAAAAAAGAATTAAAAACAACTGAGCCTCAAAGGAGTTGGGTAATCTGCATGGGGTCACACAGCAAGGTAACAGAAAAGTGTTACGTCTGAAATTGCTGTTCTGGGAATTGAATTTGCACAGGCCTGTGAGGTTGGGGAGCTAGCATTAGCCCGGGTTAAAAGAGCAAGAATGAGCTAGTCACGTGGCCCAGCAGTAACACGAGGCTCCACAAGGCTAGGGTCACACGGGAAGGTCCCGAGTTCATGGCCTGAGGTCTTCCTGTACAAGGTGAGTGCACACAGGCAGGCCTGTAATCCTGGTTGGCTGAGGCGGAGTGCGGATGGGTCCCGGCGTAAAGGCCCTACTGGAGGTGCCGCCTTCTCCCTTGTTCTCTCTCACTTTCCCTCTCTCATAGTAAATAAATCAGCTTTTTAAAACATTACTAAAGTAAGGAAAGAACAGGAATGAACGGACGTGTGAAGAGTAGCGTGTGGATGACTGATTTCAGATCATCTCAGATCTGGCAAGTGTCACTCGAGCTCCCAAGGGCTCTTTCTATCCCCCGGCAATAACCAGAGGATCCTACTGACCTCTTGCCATTTACTGCCTCTTCAAAGGGAATCACAGGCAAACAACACAGAATCGCCTCCAAAGAGCACGTGTTTTTATCCTTCCCCCAACACACTCTTCCTCCTGGGGGAAAGGTGTCCTCTGACGTGGGTGGCTTTGTTCCCAGGGGCTTTACAGGAGCAAGTGGCAGGAGGCGTGAGCATGGAAAACTTGGGGCTAGGTGAGCGTTTCCTTCCATGGTGATGTGAATGCATTGCCCTCCTGGGAGCTCACAGGAGGTGAAAGACTTGAGGTGGGAGAGACCAGGATCAGTGTGAGCTCCCCATCCTTCCCTGTGTCGGCTGGAGGGCACCCCCGGCCCCACTACTCACATCTGCCTCGTTCCAGAGCCCTGGGATGCAGAAGGACTCCAGCAGGTCACTACCGCACAGCAGCAAGATCCGCAGTTCTGAGGAGGCAGCAAAGATATACAGAGTAAGTGGAGGCCCCAGAATCATGGGACTCTCAGCCTCATCCCTCAGAGCCTGTGGGGTTTAGCCCCCACCTCAACACCCCTCTGCCCACACCTCTGCATGAGGGTACATGCAGCCCCTGTCCTCTGTCACCTCGCCCTCGGACTTGCTGACAGACCTCACTCTCCCCTAGTGGAAGGAAGTACTCAGGGAGAGTGGAGCCCAGAGGGTGGCCGGCTGTCCTGGTTAGCCCAGAACACAGGACTTCCAGCACTAAACCAGGATGGCGGGTCTCTCTAGAAAGGACTGAGCCAGCAACTGCCTCTGCTTTGGTCTTAGGGCTTGTCCTGCTCCCTGTCCAGCTCAAGGGAGGACGCAGTTTGGATTCTCTGTGTGTTATCTGGAGTGCGTCTCCTATCGCAAGTGCCAAAGGCAGTGGCTGGGGGTGGGGAACCTGGAGAGGGGGACCCGAGGTATCTGAGTTTGTCAGACGCGTCCTCTCTGCGCACGGCCACTGTCCCCAGCCAGAGGCTTGAGGAGGAGGCCGAGGCCCCTTGCTTTCCATGCTCTCCCAGCTGCCCAGGCATTTTCCTGCTGGGCTGTGGTACTTCCTCCCTCACTGACCCACTCTGATCTCCCCAGCGGAGGCCCGCGGTTGTTTAAAACAGTCAGCAGACGGCCCCGCTTAAACTGAGCAACAGAGAAGCAGCGGCCTGGGATTCTGGGACTACCGCCTGGGGGAGCCCTCCGCCCAGGGCAGCACTCGACGGGTATGTGTGGACTGGAGGAGTGTCTGTATTTGGTCCCTGTCAAGGCAGTGACTGTCAGGTCCTTTGTCTGAGACAGCAAGACAGTCCTGAACTGAGCTACCACCTGCTTCCAGGGACAGCTGCCACCCAGACCCTGAGGTTGAGCGATGGCTGCCTCAGACCCCGCAGCTAACTCAGGGCCAGCGAGGACTTCCAGATGGCAGGAGTGGCCCTGCTATAGGAGTCTCCAGGTGGCTCGGGTGTGGGGGGGGGGCTGGTGAAAGACAGGGCCGGCTTCTCACGGTCCGTGGTCTGGGCAGCCCACCCACCTCGGATAGCTCCACTGTGACCTTAACTGCTACGTTTTCTCACCTCCTCCCTGCTCTCCTCCCTATTGAGCCACGGTCTAGGGATGTGCTGTGTGCAGGGACCGTCATTTATCCCCAGAGCCTGGCAGAGTGATGGCAGACAGACTGCACACAGACGCGATGACCAGGTGAGCCAGCAGATAGTTGACGACAGAGGCCACACAAGAGCCTTCCTCACTGTCTGGGGTGGGTGGCTGCAGTGACTATGTGACCTGTGGTCCTGCAGCATAGGGACCTGGGGGGAAGCTTGCCTGAATCAGGGCACCAGCCCCGCCATGATAGGGCCCAGCGTTGCTGGCCTGAGACTCAGCTGTGAAGACGAGCCAGGATAAGTATGGCTGAGAGGAGCCAGGCTGGGCTGGTTCTGATTTTGTGTTCCCGTGTCCCATCTGGAGTCAACCAGAGTCCTGGGTCAGTTGTATTGAAAGGCCGAGGCTCTGTAATCCTCAGGTAGGTGGCCGTGGCCTTGTCTGTGGACCTGCAGGCCCTTCCTTTTCTCTACATTGGTGGGTCTCAACTGAGGACAGCATTGCAGTTGCCAGGGGACACCTGGCAATGTCTGGGACGATTTTGTTTGTCTTAAGTGGGGGAGGAGGGCGTGCTGTGGGCATCCAGTGGGCAGAGACCAGGGATGCTGCTGAACAGCCCACAGTGCACCAGGCAGTGCCCACAAGAGAACCCTCTGGTCCCAAATGGCAGTCATGCCCAGATCAGGAAACGCTGCATCCCGCCACGGAAGTCAATCTCTTGATTCCAAAGCAGAGACTCCCTTTGCCACGCGAGTATAATGTGGGATTTTTGCCTCTTTAAGACAGGGTCTGGCCGTGTTGCCTTGGCCTCCCTAATCCTTGGGATTGCTGCCCATGCCTCAGTGCCCTGTTTTTATATCAGACCAGGAAGCAAACCAGGGCCTCCCCTGTGGTCTCAGCCCGCAGAGCACAGTGTCTCAGCAGCATGCACCACCACAGCTGGGCCACGTTTTTTAAGCTAAGGCATAGAAAGTGAGAGCGAAGCCTCTGCCTTTCCTTACAAAGACTGGAACACATGTAGGATTTATCTCAGAGGAGTGGTGGGGCAGGGCCGGAGATCCCACGTGTGGCCGCTGGGGGGCAGCAGTGATTCTCCTGTCACTGCGTGAGCCTAACCGCGCCTGGAGCAGCAGCCCTCGGCAGCCTGGGCAGCAGGGAGGATGGTCAGCTGTCAGGGACATGGGAATGGGGACACAGATGCTAGCAGAGCTAAAAGAAAATGGCTTTTCCTTCTGTGAAGTGTGCAAGAGGGTTTCAAAGAGGGGCAGCTAGCAGGCGGAGGCCAGGGACCTGCTAGCCAACTAAGCAGTTCAAGTCCCAGGCTCGGCGGCTGGAGAAACACGCCAGGCACGTGTGCACAGCCACTGTCCTCAGCCAAAGGCTTGCGGAGGAGGCTGAGGCCCCTTCCTGCTCCTCCCTCCTTTACTCACTCTGATTCACCCCAGCGAGGCCCGTTGTCCTTTAAAACAGCCAGGAGACTGCCTTGCTTACTAAAACTGAGCCATGGAGAAGGCAGCCTGGGCTTCTAAAGGCTTGCGGAGGAGGCTGAGGCCCCTTCCTGCTCCTCCCTCCTTTACTCACTCTGATTCACCCCAGCGAGGCCCGTTGTCCTTTAAAACAGCCAGGAGACTGCCTTGCTTACTAAAACTGAGCCATGGAGAAGGCAGCCTGGGATTCTGGAAACGGTGTCAGGGAGCCCTCCACCCAGGGGGAGACTCAACAAGCATCTATGAACTCAGGGGCATGTCCGTTTGGTCCCCGTCAAAGCTGCATCTGTGGGGCCTCAGTCCTGAGCTGTGCTGTCACCAGCTTCCAGGGTGCCAGGAGGAGAGACAAGGAGAAGGAATGCAGCATGACCATGGCCCCTGGGGGGTGCTTTCTCACCTCTCTTCTGCCCCCACCCCCCAACGAGTTCATACACCCTCTGGCAAAAACAAGGAGAGGCATGAGTGAGCCCCAGAGCACAAGGGCAAGAGGACCCACCTCCCTTCCCAGGTCACCCAGACTCAGGCTGAGCAGGAAGTACTGCCGTCCCTCCGTGCATCCTCCCAGGAGCCTAGCTGTGTGAAGCCTCGGCCATCCTATTGCCACCGCTCACGCAGGCAGGCAGGGACCACCTGAATCGTGCCGTGCCATGACCCCAGGGGAGGCAGTGGTCCTCCAGCCCCCCTTCTCCAAGCCAGCATGTCTCCCTCCCTCTCTACCCTGTCCCTT